CAAAATAAGGAAAATGCAAACAACGAGAAAAAAAGGCCCAATGACAAAGCTTCAATTCTGATGTGTTGGCAAGGGATCTGTCTGGACGCTCGGACGACTATCCGTAAAATCAAGTATTCCGGCTCTAATCAGTTCACGCACCCTAGCTTTCAATGCAAAACAATGCTCCAAGTCGTGGCCTAAGGCACCCTCGTGAAAAGCACACTTTAGATCAACCCTAAATCCAACTGGAGGATTAAGAGGAGGTGGTAAAGCCTTTGTAGTGATCAGCCCTTGTCGAACTAAGTCGGGATACAGCTCTGTGTAAGTCATGAGAATAGGATCAAAGTGACTCCTGTTCTGTTTCTGGTCTGATATCTGTGTCGAGGAATCAGCTTGACGACTCAAAGGTACACTAGAAGACGATAGGACCAAGAAGGAGAAACTGGGGGATAAATGCAATGCAAAAATGTGATGCTAATGCCATGCAATGGTCTCAAGAATTTCAATAGTCGATTGCAAACATTCCCTTTTAGGAAAGCGAGAAAAGCTGTTAGACTTTAAAATGTAGGACTTCTTGAATTTGCAAAGGACTTTTGAATTCCTTGAAACTAGAAATGATATGATGCTTTATGGATGCAAAGCACAAACGCACATAAGCAAACAAAAGGTCCTAAGTTAGAGGAACAATGAATGGAGTCAAGGTCTACCCTTCCCAAAGTGGTGTGTACTATAGGTTAATTGTACCTGCAGAACAAGGGTTCTAAAAAAGTGCCCAAAGTTATCAGCCCATCTTTCAGATATTATCAACTTCTCGACTGACTCAAAGGTCGATAATATTCTCAAGAGAACCTCGTTCGAGCGTAGTATCGCGTAGCAACCATTGTAGGACTACTCCCACATAGTTCCCGCACTACGTCCTATATAAGGTCAAGATGGTGTAAAGGTACTACGGTTCCCAGTATCACAGACTCCAATCGATAACGGTAAAAGTTTTCACGACTACACTCGATCAACCGAACCATTTTCGAAAGTGTCTCAACTGAGCGGTGATTCTCGATTTAGCTTAGTCGGGACTCACTCCCTATAAGCCTCGTCGAATATATCAGCCATCCTATCATAAGGTCGCTCAAGTCCGGGTGTAGGACTTATCTCACAACACAGTAACTCCAAGTAAGGTACCCCAATATATACATACAAGTGAGCAAAATATATAATAAAACAAATATATAAAGAAAAATAAACAAAATAGGGATAACCTTCAATAGTTAGGACTCCCCAGTGAAGTCGCCATTTTCTGTTGCGGTGAAATTTGGATGTCAAGCTATTGATTAACTTGAATCTTAATTCATTTACAACCGGTCTTTGATTTATCCGAAGGAAAGGTTAAAGAAAGGAAAAACCTAAAAGGGAGAGATCTAAGGTTCGGGGGTTGGTTAAATTTAGGGAAGGTATTAGCACCCTAAACTTCCGTAGTACTCTACGAGAACCTTTTGTTTATTTTTTTTATTTATTTCATTAACTATTTTGCTTTAGGGTATATACAAAGGATTGAAAATTAAAAAAAAGACCTAGGGGTTAATTCTAAGTTTACTCGGCAAGACATCGCATCTTGTGCCTACATATCCTTACGGGAATGGAATCAGAGTAACTGTAGTTCCCCTCAAAAGGGAGGTTAGAAACGTCTTGACTGTGGCCAAGGTTTCAATGGGGAATAAACGTATCTTAGGGACACGCTTACGCGGAGTGTAGAAACTCCAATATCTACGTTGTAAATTGTTAAGTGAACTAGGGTTAGGTTAAGGATTCCGCGGCGGGAAACCCTAAAATGAGTGCGGCGACTCTTTTGGACTAACACTAGGATAAAAGCAATTTTGCCCACGGCGGGACACCTAGGCTAAACAGGGTTTGATCCATTAAAGGGGTAAGGCTATTGACTCGGCGGCCAAAAGGCTGGACCTAATCCTTCGGAAGGATAAAACTGTAAAAAAATGTGAAAATATGACAAATCATTATATGGAGGAATAATTAAGGTACAAAAATAAGAAAAGTAATAAAGGCAGAGGGTATAAAGAAACAAAGAAACATTTCTGAAAACATGAAGAATATGAAAATATGTAATGACACTTAGAATGAAGTGAGGGAGGAAAATAGTGTGGGGCTGTGGCCACCACAAGCACATCTCAACCTCGAGCATGCACATGAAATGCTAAAAGAAAGAAAAGTAATAAAAGGGTACATAAAATGACATGACAAACATCAGGAGTTCCTTACGAAAAGGTTTTAATTTTTTTTAATATTTTAATTATATAAAAAAAAAATTTAATTTTTAATATTTTAATTATATATAAAAAAAAGTTTTAATTTTAAAATGGAATTATTTGGTTAAGAAAAATTTAAGTTTAAATTATAAAAAAAAATTTTAAGTTTAAATTATAAAATAAAAATTTTAAGTTTAAATTATAAAATAAAAGTGTTAAGTTTAAATTATAAAAAAAAGTGTTAAGTTTAAATTATAAAAAAAAGTGTTAAGTTTAAATTATAAAAAAAATTTAAGTTTAAGTTATAAAAAAAAGGTTTTTGGGAAAAAAAGTTTTTGGGAACAAAAAAAGTCTTTTCAGTTTTTTAAAAAAAAGTCTTACAATAAAAAAAGGTTTTAATAATAAAAAAAAGTTTTGATTTTAAAAAAAAGTTTTGATAAAAAAGGGTTTTGATATTAAAATCTACGGACCTAAACACACCTGGAGATTAACATGGCAAAATATGCACATAAACATGAAAAGGCAAAAGGTTTAGTAATTTAACCTACGAAGCGGAGGTTTGCTTCGGTAAATGTGAAAAAGGTTTGAATAAGGGAACACTGGAGAGCTCCAATCCTTCTGACGGGTTGTGGGAACGAACGTCTTTCTTCTCTGGGGATCTCCTTTGTTTCTCCCTTTCTCTCTCCTCTTTTCTGAAGAAAACCTTCTGACTCCTTTTTCAACAAGGCAACACATGTATATATAGGGAACAAATTAGGGTTAACACCAAATTGTCAATAATGTCCCTAAAGCCCATTTTAAAGCCCAAACTAAATAATTAGTTAAGAAAAATAAAATTTAAATAATTTAAAATAATTAAAATAAACTTAAAATAAAAACTAATAATCCTATTGATTCCAAAAATCAAAAATATTATAAAAAGAACAAAAAATTTTCTAATATTTTTTATTTTATGATTTTTTGGATATTTTTATGAATAATTTAGAAAAAAATGAAAAAAAAATAATATTTTAAAAAATGATTTAATTAAAATACGAAAATAATAATTAAATAATAATAAAAAACTATTTTTGTTATTTTTTTTAATGAGAGATAGAAACATTTAGAGTAAAAATAATAAAAAACAAAAAGTGACTAAGGTGAGATTCGAACTCTCAACCTCTCACACTCACAACTCCTTACACATGTCCTCTTGCCAATTGTGCCATTTTTACTTTTTAGAAAAAAAAATACATGCCATATGATATTTACCTGCAAAAACTCAAAAGACTACACAAATTTGTTAGTAATTGATTAAATGCAATGAAATGCGACGACAAATCTTAGGGCAAAATTTGGGGTATTACACATAACTAACTTCACATATCCCATGAGCAGTATTGTATATAATTAGCAGTTATAATTAGCAGTTATAATCAGCATTGTATATAGCAGTCTTAGGAAACAAAAATTATGTATATAGCAATATATAGCAGTATATGGCAGTCTTAGCATTGTATAAAGTTTCACCAAAACAAATCAACATTCAAACAACATTGTAACAAATAATAGCACTGTAAAACTAACCTTCTGTTGATCTGATATAAATCCACATTGTAACATTAACTTCATCATTTGCTCCCCCGACATTAACTTCATCGTTTGCTCCCTCAACATTAACTTCATCGTTTGCTCCCTCGACATTAACTTCATCATTTGCTCCATCGTTTGCAGATTAATTTGAAGCGAGTTGTAGTTTGATATAGAACTGGGTTTGAAGAAATAGGAAGATGAAAATAGGTTACAATGTGAAGAAGAAATGCGAACTGGGTTTGATTCGTTCGTGAAAATGAAAATGGGAAGATGAAAATGGTTACAATGGGTTGAACATGAAAATGGATTACAATGTGAAGAAGAAATGCGAGCTGGGTTTGATTCGTTCGTGAAAATGAAAACTGAAAGATGAAAATGGTTACAATGAGTTGAAGATGAAAATGAAAATGAAATAATATTTAAGGTAATGAAATTTTTTATTTAAGTTTTATTTTATTAAATTTGTGAAAATAAAATAATATTTAAATTAATGGAGTTTTTTATTTAAATTTTATTTTATTAAATTTGTGAAAATGAAATAATATTTAAGTTAATGACATGGAAATTATATTAATTTTAAAAAAATTATTTTAACTGACATGGAAATGCCACATCAGCATTCAACGCGCCACCTCATTAAAAACATGACTTAAAATGACAAGAGAACTAATATTAATCTTAAAATCTAAAAAAAAAGACCAAAATTATAGTTTTTAAAATGAAGAGATCAAAACTAAAAAATAAAATAAAATAGGGGATCAAAATTACAATTAAGCCAAACTAAATTAAATTTTTAAACTTTTCAAGTTCTCAAATAACTACTAGTTGTGTAATTTAAGCCTTATCCACTTTAACCTTTCACAAGTTCTGCTTTCAACATACACACACTGCACGTGTCATCTCATGAATCACAAAAAGATAGAATCATTTTCTGATTTCGATAAACACACCAACACGCGTCCCTGTACGTGGCGATTCAATGTTAGCACGTGTCAGACATTGAATTCCAAAACCATACTCACCGACACAATCCTAGATTTTTGTCTCAAGTCCAATACCTCAATTCGCCTATAAAATCATCACGTTTCATTTTATCAATCATAAAACACACCTCTTAGACAACAACAACAATCTTTAAAAAAAAAACAAAACCTTGTTTTTGTTTATTTGTGAAGAATAATAACAACAATGTCTCAGTATCAGAACCAATATGGTGCTCAAACAGGTATGACCGACGAATATGGAAACCCAGTAAACCAACTTGATCAATACGGCAACCCTATTAGTGGCGGTGGGTTCACAGGTGATGCCGGTAGACAGCATTTTGGAACTACTGGTGGTGCTACTGATCATGGTCATGGTCAACAACATCGTGGAGTTGATCAAACCACAGGGTATGGGACCCACACAGGTGGTGTGGGTGGTTATGGAACTACCGGTGGTGCTACTGATCATGGTCATGGTCAACAACATCGTGGAGTTGATCAAACCACAGGGTATGGGACCCACACAGGTGGTGTGGGTGGTTATGGAACGACCGGTGGTGCTACTGATCATGGTCATGGTCAACAACATCGTGGAGTTGATCAAACTACAGGGTATGGGACCCACACAGGTGGTGTGGGTAGTTATGGAACCAAACCTGAGTATGGAGGCACCAACACTGGAAGTGGTTATGGTAGAGGAACAGGGTACGGTGGAACTGGAACCAATCAGTATGTGAGAGAGGAGCATCATGGAGATAAGAAAGGGGTTATGGATAAGATCAAGGAGAAGATTCCTGGTACTGAACAGTCAAGAACCAATACTGATGGGGCAGGGTATGGAACAACTGGTCAAGAGTATGTGAGAGGGGAGCATCGTGCTGATTATGGAGATGAGCAACATGGAGAGAAGAAAGGGATTATGGAGAAGATCAAGGAGAAGCTTCCTGGTACTGGAGGATGTACTGGACACTAGATCATTATCATATGATCATGATTAATATCTATAGATATATGCATATCATCAATAATATATAAACTTATGGTTTGAGTAATTTGTATGTTTCATGTGTGATATATTATATGAAGTCATGTAAAAGATATATATGAGGTGGTTTATAATAATGGATATGTAGATACAATTAAATAGTGGTTGTTTTAAAACTAATTCGATTTCTTAGAATATAATACTATCACTAGAAAACTTTCAATAGATGAAGTGCACGCAATACTATCACCTGATACCATACTTCATCAAAATAGTTCAAGTAGGACTTACAACGACACACTTTAAACTTATTATGCTACATGAATGTAATAGTATGTGTACGTTGTTTTATATATATATATATATATCTATATATATATAGATATATCTATATATATATATATATCTATATATATCTATATATATCTATATATATATCTATATATATCTATATATATATATATATATATATATATATATATATATATATATATCTATATATATATATATATATATATATATATATATATATATGAGATCAAGCGTATTTGCTTAAGTGGTATTATAAACTAGCTAGATGATTAAAATATTAAAGGTGATAAGTTAATGTCAACTAGCTCGATGACCAAAATATTAAGAGAGACATAATAGAACAGTTGGAATTGAAGGGTATTAGTGTCAACCTCACCAACCAAACTACATCTTATACTATGTCTCTTTGTTTGCAAATTCCAGAGACAAACTTCATCCACGTATGTATGTGAACTCTAATATCCACCGATCATAGTATGGATATTTTAATATCCATCAAAATACCATTCAACTAATATTCAATTCAATAAATTAAGAATCAATAAAATTTGAACATTCTTTTATTTAGACAGCAATGAAAAGAAAAAAAGTTAAGGAAGAGGGACCGAAGAGAATAGAGTTAAAAACTTCAGTTCAAATTCACAAAGGGGTAACATTTGTAACCAACCATTAATTTTAGTGGATCCTATGTATATTTGATTTGCAGGTAGAAGATGGGAGAAGGCAAGTTAAGGAAGGGGGACCGAAGAGTAATGATATCAGATAAAAAGAAAAGTAACTATTCCCATTTATTCCTCCCTGAAATGTGAAATAGTAAAAATAAAGTTGAGAAGATGCAAAAATGGTTTTAAAGTAATTAAAATTTTCATATTCTATAAAATAATAAGTAGCACAGTGCTAAAGTTAGTGGAAATAGTGTTGAAAGTGGACATCATCATTTTTTTCCTTCTGAAAACTAGTTACATACTAATTTGCTTATTCTTCTAAATGAATTTTATCTCCTCTTTCATAACACAAGTTTATTTTGATCACTTAAGGCCTTTTTTTTAACGAATTTAAATTCGGTCATAAGTGTAAAATAAACGAAATTACCATCATTGTCTCTGAACAATTCACAATTTAATCTTAAAGACAAACTTGTTTGCCTTATTGACCTTTTTACATTTTCTTCAATTTGCGTTTCGATGTATGGCGTTTTTACACTTTTTAATTTTGTAGAAATAGAATTTTCACTACTATAATCAGTTACAACTTTCTAATAACCGGTTATAGGATATTGCAGCTGTTTGATCTTGTCAAAAATGGCATCTCGACTGCACAATCCTTCTATTCGCTACATCAAACAATTTGCAACCACCACTACAACAAAAATGACTTTTGGCAACAACTCAAAACCGCAACCTAAAGTGCAATAACCGTAGCCTAAGGCTTTAGGGGGCGGTTTATCAGACGTGGAATGCCTATTCCTTTAGAGCGCGGTTTTTTTATTTATAACTACGGATTCAAAACACCGTCCCCTAAATCATGAAATTCCACGGTTTTAGTTGTAGTTTTAGGCCGCGGTTTTCTAGTAACAACACAAAATAACCGTCCCTAAAACATGAATATACAACGGTTATAAAAAAGCAACAATAGAAAACCGTAGCTAGTTTATAATTTCATTTAAAGAACCGCGCCTAAAACTTAGGAAAAGTCCACGGTTTTTAATAAGCAACCCTTAAAAAGCGTTGCCTATAAATTAAAAAATATTTGATAAATATTAACTTTAAACTTAAATATATAATTATTAAAAAAATTTCTATTCATTTATATGATGATACATTTCAACCATAAACCTTCATTTTATTCTAATATAGTATAAGTCAATATTATTAATTAAATGAGAAGAAACACATGTATAAATTAATCAAAACATATAAATATGAAATATTAATAAGATGAAGTGTAATAAACACTTTGAAATGTAAGAACAAATATTTTCAAAAAAAATCCAAACTCTTTGAAATATAATAAACTAATTAGGTGGTTTGTGTAACTCCACAAAACAAAAAATAATTGTCTATATTTGAATCAGTGAAGGTCTTCATCATATTCATTGTACTGAGAATCATGAGAATCATCATCTTGAGAACCGTCAACTTGATCATATTGAAGATCGTCATCTTGATCATATTGGAGATCGTCATCAAGATCATAATGAAGATCATCATCATCTTGAAGATCGTCGTCATCTTGGAGAACGCCATCTTGTTCATCTTGAGGATCATCTTCATTTCTAACCTATAAATATGAAGAATAGTCAAATTTAAACATTTCTTCCATCATATTAGTAGCAAAATTTGGTAAGAAAATACTAACTAATCCTAGGGGAGAACTCGATATATAAGCAACATAAATTAGTATACTAAAGAAATACCAACTCAACACTTAGTAAAATAAATGCCAATTTTAATTAATATCAATTGTAGTACGTACCTTTTGATGAGCAGGAGTATAGGTTGATGTCGATGAGCGCGGTGTTGGAATATTATCATTGTGCAAGGCTTCTCTCATCTTATCGTTTACTTCCTCTTCACTTAAATGTGGATTTTGTTGCATATACATGCTTTTCAAAAGTACCTCCATTGCTCCCATCTTTTGTGTCATGTCAAAAATTTTACCATCATATTGCATTTTTATTAAAGAAATTTCTTCATTTTTTTTCAACAATGATGGTGTAACAGTTCTTCCATAACATCTCACTCTACCAGGTTTTTCTTTTTCAAGCAATGATTGAAATGTTTGTGTTCCAGCTTCAGTTGAAGTTTCAATAGATTCTTGAAGTTTATCCTAATATATCAAACTATCAATTTTGAACAAAATTAAAAACTACATGTGCAATTAAAATGGATATAATTTAACTTACAATCACAAATTGGGTTTCCTCATCCACTTGTTTTCCCTTGCGACTTTTTCGAGTTTCAATAAACATCTCAGCTTGAGTGACTTCTTGTCCATCCTTGTTTTCCCGCTACATTATTATTCATATATTAAAAATACAAAATATTAGTTAATAAGAGATTGAAAAAACACATTATTCTATTGAGAATCACGCACAAATATCTGTCGTACCTCGAAAAATACGATCCTCGCGATGGCCGCGGAAAATACTGTTCGAAACAGAGTCGCCACCGAACTTTATTCATTCCAAGGATGGAATAGGAAAATATCGATAAAACCTTTAAAGGGATAAGAACATGGTCATCGCAACCAATATTCTAGGTTCGGGAGTCGGTTACGCAGAGGGAAGGTATTAGCACCCTCTACGTCCGTTGTACTCAACGGGAACCTCTTGATCGATTCGAGAGTAAAGTTAACTATGCTTATTTGTTTTCTTATAAGGTTTCTCCTATAGGGGGAAATAGATGGTTTTAAGATAGGGTGCTCGCCAAGGATTGGGGCCCTTGTGCCTACGTATCTTCACTTGTAAGAAGTGGAAAATCAGAGCATTCGTAGTTCGTGGAACTACGGGAAAATGAGGGGATTGTGCTCGCCAAGATCATCGCAATCTTGTACCTACGTATCTTACATTCAAGAGAATGAAGAATCAGAGGAGCCGTAGTTTGGCTAACTATGGTAAAAGGTTTGTGTTTGGAATGAACGAAAATTTAGGTCGCATTCTAACTGCTAAACGTTGGCTTGTCTGCTCGTTAGGGGAGGCTGAAGCACTAGTTTGTTATGCGCAAAAGAAGGGACTAAACAATGTTCTTAGGTAAAGGATTGTTTGAATTGTAGGGATCGCGCAAGGGCGAGGGATTAGGTTTATCGCATTGGATATTTTGGTTAGAGGATATATTTGAATAGGTTTATGGTTTCGATCGCACGGGGCGAGAAAGAGGAGCTTGGTTAGGTAACTTGATGGAGAATGACGACTATTTGATAAACGAGCCGTCAGCCTCGCAATCAATTAATCGGGGCATTATTGGAATGCTAGATCCCAACGATACCTTTTTCATCCAAATTCACAATTTGTGTTTGAAGTTGTGCTGAGAAACGAAAGAGTGATTGACAAGCAACCTAAGAGCGCGCCTTAAGAGCTCGTCACTCAAGAATTCAAGGAATGCGAGATTCCAAGAACTCTATTCTTTCGGAAATAGTTTGGGTTAGAAATCGCTCGAAGGCGAGGAACTAATGTTTTGAAAAGATTCAATCGCACGGGGGCGAGAAAAGAGTTGGAATGGTTGAAAATTTAGGAGAGAATGACGACTATTCGATAAACGAGACGTCGACCTCGCAATCAATTAATTGGGATATTATTGGGATGCTAGATCCCCATGATACCTTTTTCATTCAATTAATTATGAAAGTGTATTTGAATGGATAATAACGATATGTGTCCAAATAATTAGGGCACGTGTTTTATAAACAAAAGGTCGAGTAATCCACAACCTAAAGCGTGCGCCTCAAGAGTGGTCACTCAAGAATTCGAGGAGTGCGAGACTCCAAGAACTCCATTCTTTCGCAATTTAGTTAAGAAAATAATTTTGGATTTGACACATGGCTTAGAAACATATTAGGGTTTAGACTTGATCGCACGAAGGTGAAGAACGAGGTTAGATGGTTTGAAAAATTAGGAGGAATGACGACTATTCGATAAACGAGACGTCGGTCTCGTAACCAATTAGTCGGGATATTGT